GCGCGCTGAGCCTGCCTGTCCCCAGCTGGTGGAGCGTGAGGACTTTGCCGAGGCAGTGAGGGAGGAGGCAGCGGCTGTGGCGGCCCGGCAGGAGACGGACTCCATTCCGCTGGTCGATGACATCCGCTTCCATGTGGCCAGCACAGTACAGACCTACAGCGCCATCGAGGAGGCGCAGCAGCGGCTGCAGGCCCTGGAGGACCTGCTCATGTCCATTGGCCTGGACTGCTGAGTCCCCGGGGCATGTGTTCGTGTGCTTGTGTGTGCGTGCGCATGTCTGCAGCTCTTCCTGCCCCTTGCACGTGGGTCCTAAGGTGGAGGGGTCTCCTTGCCCCATGTGCCCTTGGGGACCCCAGGGATCTCCTTGGGACGAGCCTTCTCCTGCAGCACCCAAGACGGCCACGCCCTAGCTGAGCACCACTCAGGGAACTGGGCGGGGAGCCCCCCACACCGCCTCCCACCTGTGGGCCCTGGCCGGCTCAGTGCCGGCTCACAGGTATGGCCAGCAGGAGGGGCAGCACCTTCATGTGGCAATAAAGCTTGTGTTCACTGTGGCCTGAGTCTGTGTTGGGTGCAGCTTGGGGACAGGAGACACGAGACCCAGCCTGGCCCAATGTCCCATTCTTCCTACCTCACTGGCCCTACTGGGCCTGAGGCCTCCTTGGGATCTTTTCTGCCTTTATTTTTCCCACTGCTGGGGACTGAAGCCAAGGCCTCTGGACTGATCAACATCCCCAGCTCTTTTTATTTTGCTGGCCAAGTATGGTGGCACATGCTTGTAATCCCAGCACTTGGGAGGCTGAGGCAGGAGGATTCCTGCACATTTGAGGCCAGCCTGGGATACATAGTGAGACCCTGTCTCAAAAAAACAAAACATTTAAAAAGCAATATTTTTAATTTTGCTACGTTTCCAATGCTAGGCATAAACTTGCAATCCTGCCTCAGCCTCCCAGGGTGCTAGATTGATCACAGGCCTGTGCCACTGTGCTCAGTACTACTCATTCTTGGCAGTGGCTCACCCCACACTGTCCCACAGCTCTGTCTCCGGCATCTCCCAGCCTGGGTGGCTGGTTCGTCCCTGCGTGTTGGTGTGGGGAAAGCTGCAGGCTCTGCAGTGACCCACTGGGAGAAGGATGACAGGTGTGTAGCTAGGCGGGAGGGGCCAGCAGCCTGTAGTGGCCTGAGATGGGGTGAGACAGGAGGGGTCTGGTGGCCACGGCCCAGGCAGCGGCCGGCCAAGTTCTATGGTGGCTCTGCTTTTCGCTGCGGCGGTGGGGCAGTGAGGAGCTGCTTCCGGCTTGGGTCTCACTGAGTTCCTACCCAGCCCTGTGTCTGTGACACAGACCCTGGAGTGTTCATCAGGCCTGGTCGACTTGCATTTTTGGAATCTCATTCTGGTGACCCTGGCAGACACAGGCTAGTGACCTACAGGCCCCAGGTCCCACTTTAGGCCATGCTCATCTTGGATGTGCCGGGTCAGGAAGGGAGATGTAAATATCAGGAAAAACCACTAACTGACTGTGCCTTTCTTTCCACGGGGACAGGGGACTGATGAACTGGTGCATCCAGCTGCCAGACCCATCTGTGTCTCAGCAGGCCAAGGACGGCACTAGGGAGGGAGAGGTGGCCAGTGGCCTGGCTGGCCTGTGTTTGGGGATGGTTGGCCCTGAGTCACCACCTGGGGGAGGCGGGGACAGTGTTCCCCAGCCACTGTGACATCCCCTTTTGTTTGGCTTCTCCCTTGTGGCTCCCGACTTGGCACACAGTGTCCCTCAGTGTCTCCCCCTAGGTGCGGGAAATGGTGCCACGCCTCCCTCCACCTGCCTCCTGTTTAGCGTCAGTTCACTCCCACTTCAGAGGGGAAAAAAAAGTATTGTTGAATCGGTGTAAAATCTTTTCATTGTATTTTATTGGAAAAAAAATAGGTATTCGACCCCAACTCAAGCTACCTTCAAATTTTTCGTAGGTAGAAAAACAACTGAGTTAAAGACAAATGAAGGTTTTGAAATGGTGTCGGGTGAAGGTAAGGTGGGCTGCCTCCCTCCCAGAAGCCGCAGGCCCCACGTGAAGCCACAGGACTCCATGGTGTAGACCCTGCTCCATTTAAAAGGTTGATAAAAGGTCCGAGGATGTAGCTCAGTGACGCCACCACCTGCCTTGCAAGCGCAAGGACCAGAGTTTGATCCTCCCCCCCCCCGCAAAGAAAAGTTGATAAAAGCCCAATGTGGTGGCCCACGCCTGTGATACCAATACTCAGGAGGCTGAGGCAGGAGGATCATCACATGTTGGATGCCAGCCTGGGCTACATAGCAAGACCCTGTCCCAAAACAAAAAAAACACAAAACTAAATAAAATAATAGGAGCTTACTTTTTTGCCCATCCTGTATTAGACCCCTCACTCAGGGAAAAGAAAAGGTGGCATAGTCTTCACATAAGCTTCTCTCTACCTGGAAAACTCCTGTATAACCTTCAGTCCCGCCTCCCGAAGCAGGCCAAGGAACATAAGCAGGGCTGAGGCCCCTCAGCAGCTGGGAGTGAGGCCGGGTGCTCTGGCATTTCCTGAGCAGAAAGCGGGCTCTGCTAGACACCTCTTTAGTGGGAGCCCTGGGAGCCCAAGCAGAGCTGTGGCTGTCGGCAGACCCCAGGACCCTGAGGGGACCCACTCCTGGCTTCTGCACTACAGGGCCAGGCCTCCCCTGTACCCCCGTGCTGCTAAATCCTTAGACCAAAATGAGGGCGGTTTCGATGCAGATCTTTGTCGTTGTCTTGAGTTGTGCCTCTCTCTGTATTAACCTGAGCCGGTCCTAAATGCCTCGGCCCAAGTGATCCTCCTGTCTCAACCTCCCAAGTTGCTGGTGCTATAAGAGGTCCCCCATCACCACCTTGGCCCTTTGATTGCATTTTAACCACATTTTGTGTCATTTATTGAGGTTCTTATGCATGGGACTCTTGCCTGTTTGGGTGTCTGGTTTTGTACTGAGGCTGGGCAGCTGCTGTCTCTGTCTTCCTGCAGCACAGCCCCTGAACCAGGAGACCTCACGGTGGGGTTGGGTGGAAGCAAAGGTGTCCTCCCCCTGCTCTGCAGCCTGGGTATGTCCTGCTTTGCCATCCACAGGTCTGGAGTGGGGACTCCTGCAGGATGCTGTCCCTATCCTCAGGCTGGGAAGCCCCCACAGGCAATGCTGGCCCAGCCAGCCTCAGTTTACTCGTCTGTCTAAAGGGAGCAGTGCTACCCACCACCCATGCTAGTGTAGCAAGAGGTCCTGCAGCCTGTGAATTCCCACATTTCCAGGGCAGAGCCCCTGCCACCTGGGCACACGGAGACCTTGCTTTCTCTTCCTCCTCGGACTCAGGCTTGGCTGTTATCAGTCCTGCTGCTCTCACTTCCTCTGTAGCTCTGGTGTTCCCTCTGCCACGCGCTGTTGGAGCCAGGCCTCTCATCTTCCCGCAGCTGTCGGAGCCCAGCTTCTCCAGGAAGCCCTACTGCGCCCAGGGCGACTTGAGCACTGCACCGTGGGCCCACAGCCGGCTGTGCTCCCTGATAGCTGAACACCACCCCTCGGTTTTCAGCTGGCTCAGGCTCCTTTCCCAGCAGCCCCTTGGCTGAAGCCATGCCTGTCAGCTCTAGATACGAACAGGAACACTAGTTGCAATTTCTGGGTTCTGCTGTATCCTTTGAAAGATGGTGCTTTCCTCTTTCCTGTCAGCCGGAATGAGGGTGAAGTGTCTGGAGCTGGCCCAGCCATGTTGGACAAATGGGCTTAAGCCAGGGGACTCAGGACCCCAGGGCAGGGGGCCAAGAGGGCCTCTCGGGGGAGACGAGGGAAGGAGAGGCCTCGGTCAGGGCAGGGGAGTAGGTTTTGGGCTCTGACGCCAACCTGGGTCCACAGCCCACTCTGCTCATTCGTCCATCCCCTCCTGCCTGGACTCTGCTCCTTCACTCCGTCCCTCAGGCCTTCATTCTCTCTCTCATTCATTGCTCCCCCTTCTGCTCCTCCAGGCCGCAGCACACCAGCACTGTATTTTGGGGACAGGCTGTATTCCTCGGGAGGGAGCACGCCCCCACGTGGACAGGCAGAGTCCAGCAAGCCCTCCCTTCCAGGCTGGTGCCACCCCATTCCGTGAGAAGCTGGAGGGACCCGTGCAGGGAGGAACCAGGATCACCCACACTACACCAGGCAGGGTTCGTATCAGGCCCGGGCCCGGACTGGGCAGGGCTTAGCAGACCCTGGGAGAAGGGCCTGTGTTTCTGTCCAAAGAAGCATTTGTCTGTGGGATCAGGACCCACAGCCACAGAGACAGTCAGACACAGGCATCACTCCAAAAACATCTGGTTTATTAGGATTAGCTGTGGCGTACATTGATTCCTTTAACGGTTCGAAGCTGATACACGCATTCCCCACGAACAGTATACGTGTAGGGCTGTGGTGACAATGAGATTGGTGAATCGCTTGGAAAATCATTGTGATCTTAGTAAGTTCATGTTAGCACGGGGGAGAGAAAGAAAAATGTGAGCCGTACACCACACTGGAGCCTCTGGTGCCGAGGCCCTGCAACCTGGGAGCTGTGACCCCTGCTACCAGCAGGAGGCCCCTTTTCCTAAAAAGATTGTCAGATCTGGAACCCGTTTCCAAAGAGGACTCACACTGCCTCTGCACTGAGGGGAAGGAGCGACGTCCACACTGGCACCAGGGCCCAGGGTCCAGCCCGGGTCTCACTGCCTCTTCCGGCCTCTGCCCTCCTCTGCCTGGTCACCGACCCCTCACTCCCTGCGCTGGCCTCACTTGGCCAGGCAGAATGTCATGGCCGGCCGGCCTCCCAAAGACAGATGGGACGCTGGGCTCCAGAGGGCTCCGAGGGGGACGTCAGGGGGTGCCCAAGCTGGCCATGGATGTGGCACATGCACGTCCCTTGTCCCCTCGAGACAGTCCCAATTTGACACCCGTCACATTAATGATTTTGTAGCCAGACACAAAAGAGCTAAGCGTGTGCGTCTGACCAGTGCCCATATAAGCAGATCCATGCGTCTCGGGACTGTGGTCGTCACGCAGCTACATCCCTTTGGGAAGGGACACTGACATCACGCCTCTGGAGCAGGCCGCAGTGCGCAGGCCTGGGGACAGTGGGCCCTGGGTGAGTCCCAGACCAGAGCCCGGGTGCCTGGTAGGCTATAGATGGCAGAAACTATCACCAGGCTGCCAGCGGCTGGGACTGATAGAGCAGGTGGACTCTCCTGGGGCAGGGCACACCCACAGCGCAGAAAAGTGACTATCACTGCCTGCAGCAGGGTGGCCCACTTGGGGCTGTCACACCAGAGATGGGGAGGAGCCCAGTGAGTCCTGGCAGCCTCCCAGAGGACTGCTGAGGTTAGGGCACCCAGGGCAGGGGGCCGGGTCCCCTCTTATTGCTGGCGCTAAGTGAGGCCAGGGCCAGGGCCAGGCTGGGGTTGGAACCTGAGAGGGCAGCCAGGCTTGGGCCTTATCTGGGAAGGGTGGCTCGCTGGTCTCTGCCGGGGCTGGGTGGCCTGGCACGTGGGGCCAGTTCCCTCCTGCTGCCACCAGAGGTAGCTGTGGGGCCAGAACGGTGACTAAAGGATGCACTGGGCACCCAAGGGAAGGGAAGCCGAGGCCGGACCAGGTCCTCCACCCCTAGGCTGCTGCTCAGCTCCAAGGCTCTCCCAGCCGCCCTGGTGAAGACATTCACGGGTGTCAGACGGTCCCTCTTCGTCCCCACTCATCTCACAGCACCGGAAGCAGCAGCCCAGCCAAGGCTGCCTCAGAGACAGGCCCAGCCCTGGGGCCCAGTGCTCTCCCGTGAGCGAGCACTCCCTGCAGCCTGGCCACAGCTGCACTGGGCCGACAGGGTCATAGGCAACCTCAGTGGAGACACAGGCCACCTCATCCCCTGCCAGAGCTAGGCCACAGGCCACGGCTGGTCCAAGGGGCCTGGGGCAGAGCTCAGTGGGGGCAGGGATAAATTGGCTCCTCCAATTATTGCAGGCTGGCATCCCGGGAACAGGTCCTGGGCACCTGTGGGGCTGGGAGAGGCGGGCTAAGGCTGTGTGCACTTTTTAAAGGACACTGCACCACGGTCCCTCCATGGAGAAACGCTCGTGTCTCTCTCCTCTCCCTCTTCCTCTCCTCTTTCTCCTGTATAAAGTGTCGAAGTGTCCACCCCTTAAGGTCGTAGATCCAGCGGCTGCTAGCATTATATAGGACAAGAGTGTCTCTTTTTTGTTTAAAGTAGATTGTGTTAGGGATTCCTCAGATTCCCAACTTCCAGTTTGTCTCTGCCCTCCTCTGCCCACTTCCCTTGGCCCGGGCCCCAGGCGTGAGGGTCACCCAGCCCCTGGCTCAGGGGGGTGACCTGGCTCCTGCTTCGGCTGTCCTTTGAGAGAACCACATGTGTATCTCATGGAAGACTGAGTTGGTCACTTCGGGCAGCTCCTTGTGAAGCATGTGGTAGGCGCCTTCGTAAACCTGCGAGTGGGAGAGACAGTCAGGGCTGTGCGTCAGGAGTTGTGGGGGACTTGGACAGGGGATGGGATGATACCCAGACCCTGTCCCTGAGCCCTGAGCACTTGGCATTCATCTGCCGTCACTACAGGGCTCACACCTCCCCACCCCGTTTTCAGACAGGGTCTCCTTATGTTGTTTGGGGTGACCCTGAACCCTTGGACTCAAGGGATCTTCCTGTCTCAGCCTCCCAAGCAGCTATGACTACAGATATGCTCCAATGTGCCCAGCTGGGGTTAACACATCTCAGGCCACCTTTAACTCTCCCCAGTCCCCGGGAACTGTCTGTAGCAGGGTCTGTGTGACCTGCCTATGCCAGGCTGGCGGACCCTTGATATTCACATGCTGTTTGACTTCTCACCTGTGAGAAGTCACCGTGGCTTTATCCTTGCCTGGTTTCTGTCCCACCTACAAGTGGCTCCTGCCACCCTGGTGACCTTGCAGACAGACTGGTGAGCCCCTTCTCTGGTCTCCCTAGCAACTTCCTCCAGCCCTGGGCATGAAGCCTCCTCCAGTGATACTGGGCTTCTGACTCCAGCCCCCAGCCTGACCTCTCCGAGGGCTTGCTGCCCAGTGGCTGCTCGTATTAGGGTTTCTCAGGGTGGAGCCCTTGCTAGTCCTCAGCTCTGTCACAGCCAGGATGACCCAGCTTAGAACAGGGCAGTGGGCTGCTCCTTCTCACAGGCCTAGGCTCCAGGGCTCATCCTTCAGGGCTCTTTCTATGGTGCTGAGAAAGGAACCCAGGGCCATGTGCATGCAGGGCAAGCACCCTATACTGAGACACGGCCCCTACTGTTTTTAAATTAGCACATGGGTCACCTTGAAGTTCTATCATTTCCTAGTGGTGAGAAAACTCAAAACTTCTCACTTCTGGCTATTTGGAAATTTGTATGACATCATTACCTGCAGCTCCATGTTATGGGGCCAGGGCACTAGAACCTACCTACTGCTTCTGCCAGCTGGACTTTGTACCTCATACCCAGATCTCTTCAGCCTTCGTCTTCCACCCCTGGCCCTATAACCACTCTACTGCCTCAAGATCAGCTTTTTAGCTCCCACATAGGAGAAAACACTGGGTTGCAGTTTCCAGTTAGAGGACCCCCGAGAGCCTCCTGAACTTAGAGTGGGGCCTTCAGATGGTGACTGGATTATGGGAGCTCAGCTGCCTGGCCTGAAGAGGCGGACCTTGGGGCATGGGCTGGAAGGGTCCATCTCCTTCTCAGGCTCCTCTCTTTGCTTCCTGTCCACCATGCCACGAGCCAAACTCCTCTGCCAGGCCCTGGGCTGGGCCACACTGCCTCTGAGCCAGCAGACTGTGGACTGAAACATGAGTCAAGATGAACCTCTCCTTGAATTTTCAGATGTCGGCACTGTGTCTCAGGGACGGGAAAGACTACAAGTATCTGTCTTTCTGAGCCTGGTTGATGTCACTCAACAGGACACCCCCTAGGCTCCTCCATGGAGCCGCAAATGTTTGTTCTTATGGCAGAAAAGGATCCCGATGTTCGTGTGTAGGTTTTCTCTCTCTGGCCACCTGTCAGCAGACACCAGGTTGGTTCCATTTCTTGGTCCTTGTGAACAGCGCTGCTAGGAATCTTATCCTTTGGATGTAACCTAGGAGTGCAGTGGCCAGGCTGCAGGACAGTTCTGGTGTGTGCATGTGGTGCTGGGGAAGAAACCCTGTGCATCACCTCTGCTAGATGTAAGCTACCACTCTGCCGCTGAGCTACAAACAGCCTACCCTGCTTGTATTTTTCGCACACCTCTGTCCCGTCGTCCATCGTGCTAGACCCTTTGTCACATGGGACCCAGTCCCACCTTCCTGTGCTCACCCCAGGCCAGGCAACTTCCTTTTGGCCAGAGTGAAGGTACTGTGTCCCTCTGGGTCCTGCTGCCTATGCTCCTGTCCCCATCCCCAGAACTTATCACTTGCTGCTCAGACCCAGAGAGGAAGCTGACTTCTCCTGGGGTGGCTCTGCCTGGCTGCCCAGCGCCCATCTGTCCCAAGTTGCCATGGCTACTGGAGAGGGTGCCGGGCTCCCACACATCCTTGGGGATCAGACATGACACTGTCTGGGGAGATCCATTTGCCCAGTACCTGGGCTGTATGCCCTTTTCTTGCCCGTGCCATTTTCTGATGTTCTGTTTTACCCAAGGCTCATGCATGCGAAACAACCGGCTAAGGGCAGCATGCTCAGCCCCAGGACCCTTGTGTCTGCCTGCCAGCTGTGCATGCTGGTCCCGGTGGGGGACCCTATAGGCTGGGGAGGTGGTCACTCACCTTGAGTGTCTTGTCCTGGCTCTTGGCCCCATCCAAGAGCAGGTAGGCCCCTTTGCTGTCACACAGGCGGTCATCCGAGCCCTGGAGCAGCAGGAAGGGCAGGGTCAGCTTGGGTATCCCCCGTTCCACCCTCGACACGGCGTTCAGCAGCTGGGTGCCAAAGGACACTTTCAGTCCTCCGTGGTAGACAAGAGGGTCCGAGTTGTAATTCTCAACCTGGGGTGGAAAAGAGGGGTTGTGTCAGTGCACGGCGGGTTCCCTGTGCTAGGCCCAGACCTGGTTTCTGAGACCTTTTTGGTTTTGGCTTTTGAGATAAGATCTTGCTATGTAGTTCATGCTGGCCTGGAACTCACTCTGTAGCCCAGGCTGGCCTTGAACTCACAGCTATCCTCCTGTCTCAGCCTGCCGAGCCATGGGGATACAGGTGTGTGTCACCACACCAAGCTTTTCTGGGCACTTTTCCTCAGGACTGAGTCCCGTCAAGTCTTCTTTTCTGGCACAGGGCTACCAAGGGCTATCAACCTGTGCAGTGCACCTATGAGCCAGATCTGACCTGATGGCCTCCCCAAGCTCATTCCAGGACCCCAGAGGGCATCAGATCCAAGGATCCCCAAGCCCCTCATGTAAAATGGCCTTGTATTTGCAAATAGCCTACACACACCCATGCATTTGTTAGTTTAGATCATTTCCATACAATCTATCATGCACTGGACAGTGCAAACACTATCCAGTTGTGCTGTTTAGGAAAATGGCAAGAGAAAGTCAAGTGACTCCTTGGATGTGAAACATTAGGGTACTGAGGGTTGTGTATCTAGGCCTGTAGAAAGTTTGGAGTATTAACTTTTGTTTAAAAAATATTCACAGCATTGTATTGTTCACCTTGATGATTTTACCCCAAAGAAGCTCTGAAGATTTTCTTTTTCTTTTTATTCTTTGCAGTATTAGGGATTCAACCCAGGGTCTTCACACTGACCTACATCCCTAGCCCTATTTTTAATTTTCCTTTTGAGACAAGGTCTTGCTAAGTTGCCCAAGTGGGACTCAAAATTGCAATCTTCCTGCCTCAGCCTCCAAGAGTCATAGTCTGAAGGTGTTCCCATGTTTTATTTTGTTTTCTATCTGTCCTCCTCCATCTTGACTTGGCAACTGGCTGGTGGAAGTGGGTGAGGGCACACAGGAAGCGCAGTTGCAGTAGGCTGGCAGGAGAATCCCCCAAGGGTCCCTGCCCCATGGCTTCAGGACAAGGGAAGCCCAAGAACAGGCCTAGGCCTCAGAAAGTAGGGACCTCATGGCTCTGTCAGGGAGGCCAGCTGCTCTGGCTATGCCCAAGCCACCTCTGCCCCTCCACAGGATGTGCCCAGGCAGTGTCCTCCCTTCTCAGTCACCAGTCTACCTCCCACCCACTCCAGCTGGAGGCACAGGACCTGGCCCACTCCTCAGGGCCATGATGGGACCCAGAGCTCATGCTCCTGGGCCTCTCTGGGTTTCTGGCTTCACTTGGCAACCATATGAACAACTCAGGATCACTGCTCAATCTGAGGGTCAAGGCAGCCTATCTGTCCCACAAGATCTGGGGGAGAAGTTTCTAGAAGTCTCCCAGGCCACCTCAGAGGAAGGCATAAGGCCAATCACCCTCTGCTCCCTCACTCACCCTTGCCGATGGGTTTGGGATAGGCTGGGGACCTGGCATGGGGTGTTGTCCAGGAAAGGTCTGAGGTACAGGCCCCCCTGGGTTCCCTTCAGAGTCCCTGAAAGCTGGGCCACACTCCCTCTGCTCCTAGTCCCCCTGGGCCCAGGCCAGAGCTCCTGATCTACACTGAGAGGGAACAGGTTGTCCTGAGGCCACCCTGCCATTCTGGACTCTGTCCCACGCTGAGGGCTGAGTACCACAGAGCAGACCATTTGTGAAGCCACACGAGATGGATTAGCCACTTCCTGCAGCTGAGCTGGCATCAGGCCACAGGGCCAGGCCATCTGCTCACAGGCTGAGGGGACACAAGAACAGCAGGCAGTGCAGGGGCAGTGTGGGGACAGTTATCCAGGGCCAGCTCTCCTTCAGGGTGGAGAGCCGTGTGGAGCACAAGATGGTTGGCAATAAGAGCAACTGTGGGAGAGCACTGTGTGCCAGCACCACACCCCATGCCCAGCACAGTGCCAGGGCATTCAATACAGGATCTTCTTGAGTAATAAAAATAAGAATGGCAGACACGTGAGCTCTGGTTATATGCAGGGCTTGGTAACTCATTTAACTCTCACAACTGCCTCAAGAGAGGAACTGCTGACAAGGAAACAGGCCCAGAAAGGCTTGACCATCTGCCTGATATCAGTCATCCTAATTCCTATTGTGTTCTATAGAGCCTTGGACATTAAGTTAGGTACACAACTTCCTGGACTAAAGACATTTCCCAGCCTCTCTTGCAGCTAGGTATGATCATGTGACTGTTCTGGCCAATAAGGGATGAGCAGAAGAGCTAGGTATATACTCTCTCAAAGGCTTGTGGGAGAGAGTTGGGCCAAGTGGACACCTAAAAGTACTGAGCCACAAGATAGTGTAATGGCATTGACAAGTCACCAACCAAAGAACTGAGCCCTGTCCTGTGTAAGGTGCTGTGCCTGGCATCTGGGACTCAACAGACGCATATATTCCCTGGCCAATCCCATCTGTACATGCTGTGTCTACACTCGGTCTCCTCCAGGCTTCTGCAAGGGAGGGGCTCCCTGGCCTTCTGTAATGTGTCCTCTGACTACCCACTTCCCGAAGCTGGCCTAATACTTTGCCCTGCTGACCTGGAGAACCAGGGCCCTTGGAGGCATCTGCTCTGGCTCACACTGCTCTGCTGTCCCGGCGGGTTCCTGTCCTTGGCTTCCACTTCAACATCACGAGCACATACGCTGTTTGCACAATGACCTATTCTGAGCCAGGGGAAGGAGCTGTCAGATGTGTTGGGGAAAGGGCAGGCACTGATGTGAATCACAGCCACAGCCAGAAGTGTGGGCAGAGGGAAACACACTAGTGGGGCGGAGAGCTGAGCCACAAGGGAAAGTGGACACTGACAGCCTGAACCCTGCCCTCCATCCCAATCACAGCCGCCTTCCAGTTTGGAGGGCTTATGGTGGAAAACATCAACAGTCCTAGGAATAGGTTTTGCTCTTTCCTTCCTGGGAAGGAGATGGCCAGGCACCCCTCAACTCCGGCCAGGTGACCCACCAGCAAAACAAGTTATAAGTCCATTCAAAGCAAAGAGCAGGAAGTTGTTTTCAAAGCTTAATTACTGTCTGATTCCATTTATAGCCCCCTTCCCCCACTTGGAGTGCTGAGGATGGAGCCCAAGACCTTGTGAATGCTAGACAAGTTGCCTACCACTGAGCTACCCGCTTCCTAAAATTTTGAGACAGGGTCTCACTAAATTGGCCTTAAACTTATGATCCCCTTGCCTCAGCCTCCCAAGCAGCTAGGATTACAGGCATTCACTATCACACCCAACTCTTTATTTTTTCCTACACTGGTACAGATGTACCAGCAGCCCCCTTTGTCCCTAAATGGTAAAAGCCTGGGAATGGACTTTATTTTTTCCAGTATTGGGGGTTAACCCCAGGGCCTCTGCACTGAGATGCATCCCCACCTCTTATTCTGTTTCTAAATTTTGAGGGTCTTGCTAAGGTACTAAGTTGCCCAGGCTGGGCTAGGACTCATGACCCTCCTGTCTCAGCCTTCCACAATGCGAGGATCACAGGTGTGTATCACCACGTTTGCCTAACGGATCTTTTCGTCTCTGGATACAGCCAAGCCTTTGCTTCCATTTTTCCATGAATCCTTTCTTTCACTTAAACAGCTTTGACTTTAGCTCGTGTCACTTGCGCCTGAAAAAGGCCCAACCGACACACACAGCTTCTTCCAGTTCTCTGTGTGTTCAGGTCACAGCAGACTCACTGCCACCCGCTTTGCACCCGGCCCCACAGCCGTGACTCAGCCTCCCACCTCTCCAGGTCCCCATCACCCGGGGACTCCCACATTCGCAGGATGCTCACCTCCTCCCTGTTCCGAGACAGAACGTTGAAGTCGATTGCGCCCAGGGACAAGTTGGGCAGGACCAGGTTTAGCACTTTCGCGGCAAGGACCTAGGCAAGAAGCAGAAGAGCGGGGTAAGTGGAGATCCACGTGGCCTCCTCCAGAGGGAGTCTGCGGGGAGTGAGGGGAGCCGACATCCAGCTGGCCTGCAGCCAGGCCGCTCTCCCCAGTGGATGTCCAGACAGTGCTGACTCAGCCAACCTCAACCTTGCCCTCTGGGCTTTGCTCCACATGGGGAGTAGGCGAGGCCACCTCACAGGGAGGCAGGGATGTCCTGCCTACTTTTTGTTTACTTTTTTGAGACAGGGTCTCATAGCCCACGCTGGCCTTGAACTCATGGCTGTCCTCCTGCCTCAGCCTCCAGAGTGCTGGGATTGCAAGTGAGCACTACCACACTTGTGTCTGTGTCTATTTTTGGTCTGCTGTAGATTCCATGTGGCCATTCTCCCTGCAGATCGTCCTTGATTGTATGAATCTGAATAGTTTGTGCGTGTACACAGCTGTTTCTCTAGGGTCCTAAAAACACACAGGGCAGAATTATCTGGATCATGGGCAGTGAGCGAGGAAATGAGCAGCTCAGGTCAGAGAGAATCCTGGTTAGGAGCCAGAGCAGCAGACAAAGGCGGGATTAGCCTTGTGGTCCAGCAGTGTCGTGAAGGGAGCAGGCCCTCAGCATCACTGCCTCTGTGTTTCCCCAGCTGTCAGTGGGACCTTGTCACCCCCCTATGGGGACCCTGGAAGGCGAATGACACCCACAGGCGGAGGCCCAGTGCACAGTGGGAGCTCAGTGCATGCTGACTGTGGGCGGAGGGTTGTATTAGGCCCTGGCTTCCATCCCCAGCACCACACAGGACACTCGGAGGCCTTGAACCAGACTCACTCCATGCTCTGACCCACCTTTCCTTCTGGCTCTCGGGTGCTCCCAGGAAAATAGAATTGGATGTCACAGGTCTGCCTTAGAGAGAGGCTGCCTGCCCTTCTGAGCCCGTGTGCAGAAACTTGAGTTCAGAAGATGCTACTTCCACAGTGAGCTGTGAGGTGCCGGAATTAGCAGCACACAGTAGGCTTCGAGTGAAGGCTCACCGCACATCGAGGGTCTTGGAGGAGGGCACAGGCACCCATACCACCCGGGAGCCTTCTCTGTAGGGAGCCATGGCCGGGCCTCTCTCCCCCTCCCCGTATGTCACTGTGTCTCACTGTCTCTCGGTCTCTCTCCATCTCTGTGAGCACTGATCTTCCTCAGGACCTCCCCTGACCTCCCTTTGGGAGAGCTCCCTGGAGCTTCTTAGGCCCCTGCGGACCAGGCAGAGAGCACATTGAGGCTTGGCTCCCACAGGTCCCCACATGCACGCCCTTCACTGATGCCACGTGGCCAACTCTGCCTTCCATAGGCGGTAAACAGTGATTCCCTTCTGGTACGAGGGCAGCATCCCTGCCCCTGCAGCGACAGAATCTAGATCTGTCCACATTGACCTTGGTGTCCAGCCAAGCAAACGTCATCCTGCCAGGGTCCTCGGCAGCCCCTGGTGGTACACCAGGTGTACCCAGTCTCAGTGGCAGGGCCACCTCCGTGCTGGGGCTGGAAAGGGGGCTCAGCACTCATGGCAGTACATAAAGGTTGGGGAATTTTGGAAGCTGGATCACACGTCTGTGAAATCCACATCTGTGCTCCTCTGGGAACCTAAGCCCTGTAGTTGGGATCTGTTCCTTCAAAAATTAAAAATGAATCTAAAAATGAAGAAAAACGTCACTAGACTGCGAGTATGAGGAAGGACGTCCCAGAGACTCTTCCAGAGTGATAGTGGCCCCAGGGCAACATCAAAGGGACAAAATCATACGGTGTACTTCGAGGTTACAGAGGACCAACTTGTAGGTATCAACACACGGGCTGGGAATGACAGGGTTTATCCCTGCCAGGCTCAGGAACCACGGCGAGGCCACACAGTAGGGAGTCCCACGTGCAAATGCCTGTCATCCTCTCCCTGTCCCATCTACCTGCCCTGCCCAGGACACAGTGTGTTCCCACACGCCAGCCCTTCCCATCCCCAGAGGAGAGGCCACACACCAATGTCACATGGCACCAGTCCCACCATGCAAGCCGGCCATCAGCTCTTGCCATCTGCCGGCCTGGCCAGTCCCAGAGGCTGACACCCAGCTCTGGGGAGACACACTCACCTGTGTCCTCGAGCCCACATCCTGTTTCAACAAAAGGGGCCGGATGAAAGGCTGTCAATGCCCCTGCACAGTGGCAGTGGTGCCTGCCGCCCTGACAGGCTTGGCTGGGGGCAGCGGGTTCAGGATGGGTGGACATGCCTGCAAGGCCCAGCTCATCATGCCAGGCAGAGGAGGGGACGGGTGTCCTAGCAACGGGTCTGGCTGTCCAGCCAAGGTGCAGACGAGGGTACACCCCGCAGGAGAACACACCCTTGTCGGTGTCTGCACGCACAGCCACATCCTGGCCCTGAGCCCCAGGATCCACATGGGAACAGTGAGGGCTCAGCACACAGATGCCGCCGGAGCCCTGGGTGGCCCCATGCACAGCTTCCTGATGTCCTGTGGCCTCCCTGCTCTTAGCGTGGCCCTCAGATCAGGGCAAGTTGCCCTTCTGAAGGAGCCACCCTATGAAAAGTTCAGACAGCTTTGACCCTCAGCTCTTTCTAAACAGGTCAATTCCAAGTCCCACTTCTAACAAGACTCCACTAGGCAAAGGCTCAGAAAGAAAAAAAACAGGTGCTTAACCTCTTCCACTAAAAAGCCAGGAAAGAGGGGTGAACTATGAGGGATAGGATGGTTTCAACAGCTCCAAAAGATATCCTCTTCCCCACCTCCTGTTCTGGGCCTCCAGACTGGCCTTGAATTTTCAATTCTCCTGCCTCAGCCTCCCAAGTAGCTGGGATCTTAAGTATGGGTCATGGCGCCTGGCCCACACTGTTCTTCTCAGGTTTGTTGATTTCATGGTTGAGGAAAAGCACAGGATAGGGGAGGGAGATGGAAGCAGACTGAGGCTGGGGGTGGGCAGTAGAAGGGAAGACAGGAACCACAGCCACGCCCCCACCAGGGCCAGGCGAGGCTGTTGAGGCTGACAGATGGCCATTGCAGTGAGGCCAGCAGCATCTCCCCCGGATAGGAGTGCTTGCCGAGGCTGGAGGTGGGGTTGTGATCATTACAGCACCTGCCCCTTCTGGGGTTTACTACCACACGGCCTTCGTTGTGGGGTGTGGGCTCAGGTCTCCCTTTAGCGAGTAACCGAGAGCCGGGGTCAGGCAGCCAGGATTGGAAGCTCTGTGGCTGCACAAAAGACTTTGCCCACCCAGGCACTGGGAAGGAGGGGAACTCGCCACGATGGCACCTGGCTGGGATTCCTCACCCCTGAGCAGCCTCCAAGGCTCTCTCCACGCCTGGCAGGTGCCCGAGCTCTCGAGGCCCCTCAGCAGTCATGTCTGGATCATGCTTCCAGGAAGTCCACGTGTCGGCAGGCCAGGCCTCCAAGCCTCCTGCGGGACAACGCTCTGGCCAGGGACCAGGGAGGGCACGGCCACCCGGTGACACAGCAGGGGCCCTGGGTCACAGCAGGCTTTCTTGGGAGGACAGGTACTGTGGGGCAGGTGTGCAGTGGACCTCCCAGAGAAGGGCCCTAAGTGCTCTGCAGGGACTTCCTGGGCAGACAACTTGTCCCTCCAGTTACGTGTCTGGAAACACGAGCTCCAGCTCTGAGCGAGCAGGTGAATTCTCTGCTGCAGCTCCCTGTCACGGCCACCGGGGCCAGCTCATGGTCACAACTGAGTTCTGGGCTCCGGGGGCGAAATTCAGTCTCAGTTTGAGGGGTGGTGACAGCTTCTGCCCCGCCTGCTTCCCCTGTCTCCCAGCCCCATGGTCCCAAAACACTCTCTGAATTCTATGACTAATGAGGACGTGTGAGTTTCACAGGAGAAGTAGTCCGGGTCAGGGGGAAGCTGACCTCGGCCATGTTTTGGGGTGAGAGGGCACCCAGTGCTCACTGCCCAAGCCAAGAAGCCTCATTTCTTTGTCTGGGTACAGAATCCTTTCCTCTCTGTGCAGGGTGTGCCCCGGGCTGAGGGCTGGGGTTCTTGTATCCCCCTCCTTACCACCTTAGCAAGCTGCAGGCTTGGCTGGGAGCGGAGGCCTTGCACAAGACCTGGTGGCTCCTGGGTCCCTGCCCAGGACCCCAGAAGATGGCGGAAAAGGTCACAGACAATGACTGTCATCTAGGCAGCAAGCCCAGCTCCCAATATCTGCCGGGGGTATTTGTTTCCCCTGCGGCTCCCAGAAAAAGAAGGCTGTGATCAGCAGCCTTGCAGTCCCCAAATGTAATCCCTGACAAGCACAGGTCAGGGGACATGCATCTACTCTGCCAACAGCTGAGGTGGGGCCCTTGGGATTTCTGTTCCTAAATCTCTGTTGTTGCCACTTTCTCTGTGAAACCACTTTCCCAGCGCCTCAGTGTCTGGGGGACCAAGCTCTGTCCTTATTGTGTCCTTCTCCAGGCTAAATATATCTCAGCTTGTTGAAAACCAGCCTCGGCTAAGAAGCAGATGGTTGCAGATTTGGGGGATGGGGGTGAGCTGGCATCCTCCCTTGTCCATACCAGGGGTGAGCTGCTCGACTCCCAACTGCCTGTCTGTGCTCCAAGACTCAGGGTCTCACGCTGCCCACCAGAGTCATGCTGATGGTCTGGTGGACAAGGACACATGCTAGGAAGCCCTGTGTCTCTGAGGGTCACAGCAGCAACTGCTGGAATGACCAGAAGTTCACCATCAGGGACCTTACCTATGGGAGGCCCTGTCCCTGCAGGGAGACCCTGTGCCAGTCTAGATGGAGAAACACCACCAAGAGGCGTGGCTAAGCAAGACGACAACATAAAACCAATATAAACAGGCCCACCGAAAGAACCAAGGAAGAATGACCCCAGAGTTCAAAGACTTGACTCACAAATTATTCTTAAACTTTTTGAATCAAAACGTTTTTCAGCAAAAGATTATACGGCATGCTTCCAAGGAGGTTGTTAGAAGACTGGAGAATGCAGGCAGGGTCAATGTGAACTCAGGGCAGGCTGGGCCTATGGTCACAGCCCAGGTCACTCAAAATTGCAGTTGGGCAGGAACAGCAACAGATTTCAGGGTGGGAGGTGGCCTTCAGCTCCAGGGAAAAGAGAAATCTAATTTGTCTCGGTTAATAGAAGAGACCTGTGTTCCCCCAGGGGTGGCCAGCTCTTGATTTGACAAGGTGCGGGGAAGAAACCCTGTCAGCTCCACCTCTGGGCCCGGCTGCTATGGTTCCCTGCACTCTATCTGAAAAGCCCTCCGGTCCTGACTTTTCTCTAAGGGACAGCATAACATCATTTGCTTCTCCGTGGAGGCCTCCTCCACACACAGCCGGCAGCCCACGCAGGAGTGACATCTGTCACACAGTGGTGTCAACCCGCGTGCCCGGCACACTTCATGGTCCTCAAACATCCAGCCTCGGGGTGCAGGGGAAGCCACGCCTCTCCACTACCGCCCAGCCAGGGCCTGAGGGATGCCACCTACCTCGCACATTTACTGATAAAGTGGTGGGCAGAGTATGGCGTGCAAGGCCCAGGGACCTCGATCGTCCCGTGATGACCTCCACTGCTGTCCGCACAGGGCCGAGATTGACTGCTGACAGTCAGTGTCCACACGCCTGTGGGGCAACATCTGTGCAGCCGCTGATGCTGGCCACTGCAGAATGAAGTACATCGCTGTCCTCTGGTCCCACTAGCAGGTGGTCCTGGGGGCCTTTGTGTCCAGCCCATCCCCCATATCAGCTCAACACACAAGAAGCAACGCTGGGGTCAGGTGGGGTGGGCTGGAGGAAACTCTGAGAATGGGCCTAGGTGCCTTTCCCTGCGCTCTGTTCTACTGTGTGGGTCCAGAGAATCACTCCCATCCCAGGGAGAGAGCTAATACCTATTTATTTATATTTTGGTTTTTTGAAAATAGGGTCACATTATGTAATTCTGGCCGGCCTTGAACCTACTATACTATATATCCCAAGCTGGCCTTGAATTTGAGGCAATCCTCCTGCCTCAGCCTCTCAAGATCTGGGATGACAGGTGTGCTTCACTGTGCCCAGTTTAATGCCATTATTTAATACTGGATCCCACCGTCACTTGGTAGCAGGCCATAGGGTAGGCCTGTGGGCCACTACCTCCTGCCCCCTTTGAGAGTCCTGAGACCTCTGCCTGGGTCTGGAGGAGAGGGACGTTCCTTGGGGAAATGAGCTGGGACTGTCACCCTCCAGAGCTACATGGCATCCACTGTTAAGCTTCATGCCAGCAAGGACAGATCTATACTGATGCCATGTCATAGCCCACAGGAAGAGCCCTGAGGACCTCTACCTTCACTGCCTTCCTGAGCAGGTGGCACCAGAGGTCGTTCTGGGGATTATCACTGGCTCAGAGCTGTGACGACAGGGTCCCGCACGTACAGTGTTATCCTCGGATGACACAAAGAGTGTCGGCCACAGATAAACCACACAGCACAGCCAACAGCCTCCCAGGCTGCAGTGCCTGCTCCTCAGCTGTAGCCGAACCATCGCCAGCCCTGCTCCCTCACCACCTCCAGGCACGCTAGCACACAGCTCCAGCCGGCCTGTGACCCTCAGCTGACGTGGCCTCTCTAGACAGAGAGCGCCTGTAACTTTTCCTCTCTTAAGCTCACCAGCAAAGCATGCACAAACAGGAAGGGCTTATTCTTGAGTCTTTGGGGGGAAATGAGCCTAACTTTTGGAATGTAGAACCCCAGCAGTAACAATGCCTGATACCTGCCCAAACTTTCAAACAATAGCCGTGAGATGTGTGTCCGGGCTCTGGCCCTTTGGCCGGCTATAAATGGAAGCTCCGTGTCCCGGGGGACCTACAGGGATGGTCAGGACCCAAACGTCCCTTACCTTGAATGTGGTAGCAGATTCCGGACTGGCGAGGACCAGAGGTGCAATGAGGGCCATGCCGGCGAAGTGGCTGGGCCTCTCGGCGGCGGCGAGGATGGCGATGGCTCCACCCTGCAAGGCAAGCCCGGCCCGTGTCTCACGAGAACATCCGCGAAACCCAGTGTCTGTCCTGGCCAAGAGCCCGAGGACGGCTACCTTGGCGTGGACGCTGTCAAGTGCTGGACAAACTCGACCTGAAGTTATTTTATCAAGCCTTTTTCCCTCTGTGGGTTTTCTAAGAGCAAACATTTCGGAGAGCTATAAATAAGGCTCCTGCCCAAGGGCTTCGAGTTAAACAATAACAAACACAGTCCTTTTTCATTTCAAGCCAAAAGCTGGCAGACCAATTCTAAGTTTTATATGAGATTTTTGGGAGAGGAACGGGCCAAGGGGAGGGTGGTAAAATCCAATCACAATAATGGATTGCTACACTTTTTTCCCCTGGTTTCAGAAAGGCCCCAGAAATTCAGCTTCCAAGAAAAGTACTTAGCAACTGTGGACAGCAAGGGAGGAGGGAGGACTTGGCTGTTGGAAGCTCAAAGGTAATTAAAGCCAAGGTGGGACCTCAGATGCTCAGAGGGCCAAGCGAGGAAGAGAGATGGAGGGGCAGAGGCTAGCAGTGGCGAGGGGACAGGGACCGTCCCTGGTGAAGGCCTTTACCATCTAGAAGTTCCCAATCCTCTGCCAACTGGTCGGCTCTGTGGGCTGATCTGGACCAGTTAGAGGACCCCTGATTTCATGATTAAACCCGGTGATTCCAGGGAGATTCTGCAGAATTGCACAGTGATGAGGCTTTTGAGTGGCTTTAAGGAAGGGCTTCTCCAGGGGTCCTGTGAAATGGCACCACGGGGACAAAAGGACAGAAACAGAGGGGCAGTGCCCGGAAGTCCAAGTGCAGGGTGTGTGGACAGCAGAGGGGGAGGAAGCCAAGCACATCGCACCCCACAACCCCGTGAAGCCCCAGGCATCATCCTAACTGGGTCTCTGGTGTCTGCTTACCATCGAGTGGCCCAGCAGGAAGACAGGCAGGCCGGGGTAGTCCCTCTGCATGGTGTCGACATGATGCAACACGTCCCTGATGAAGACCTGGAAGTCAGACACCACCAGCCTCTCCCCATCGCTCCGACCATGGCCAACTGGAAAGGGACGGGAAAGAGAGTCACAGATATCCGTCCACTCTCTGAGTGTATCACCTCATTTAACCCTTGCCCACCACCGTGAACGTTGCAATGCTTGCCTGCTCCTTTTACAGGTCAGGAAATCAAGGCACAGAGTGGTTAAGGAAGTTGCTCAAGATCACACAGCAGGGAAGCACACAAGGCTGCAAACGTAGCAAAGCCTATCCACTCGGCCACGTCCTCTGTGTGCAGTGTCCAAAGGAGAAAGGAGACAGGAACACAGACAGCTGCGGTGGCTGAGGACACCTGTGTGAGGCTCAGCGCCTTCCTGGGCTTCCCTGGCCCTCGCCCCACAGGTCAGGAGCACAGAGTGGTTAAGGAAGTTGCTCAAGATCACACAGCAGGGAAGCACACAAGGCTGCAAACGTAGCAAAGCCTATCCACTCGGCCACGTCCTCTGTGTGCAGTGTCCAAAGGAGAAAGGAGACAGGAACACAGACAGCTGCGGTGGCTGAGGACACCTGTGTGAGGCTCAGCGCCTTCCTGGGCTTCCCTGGCCCTCGCCCCTCATAGCCAGGCCATTATTAGCCTTTACCAGGGAGAGCTGAGTCTGTCATCTCCCTATGTGGCTTTAGGTGAATATCGAGTGACGATAAACCCAAAGTAAAATGCAACAGCCACGTATGCCTGCCAGGAATCTTCTCAACAGAGTAGCAATAATACCAGGTCATGTGCTGGCCCTCTGGATTTGTTTTATTTGTCACATTTCTGCACTGTTCACTTCCCCGTTGTTCCTCCCTCAGGATCCTTCCACACTTCCCCTCTGGGAAGGATGCTGTCACTATGGAAGCCACTCGCCTGGCCAGGCGATGGTGTGAAAGCTGCAGAAGCAGGAAGAATTCCAGGGGGCTGCCCGGGGTCCTGGAGTGACCACAGTGCTCCTCTGACAGCAGAAAGGGATGAGGGAGTCTCAGGCCTGGAATCATCCAGCTGCCCAGGTCCCCCCGAGGGCAGACCCCAAACTCTGGTTTCCCACTGGTATAAGTATTAAACATCCCCCAAAGACTCAAGGATAGGACTCAACCATCAATGCAGCAGTACCCACAGGGGTCCGATCATGAGGGCCTTCACCTCGTAGTGGATCACTGGTTGGTTCATGGTGATGGGCTCCTGGGAAGTGGGACCTCGTTGGAAGAAGTGGGTTCCAGGTCTGGGCCTCTGAGGAGTCTATCACATCCCTGTCCCTTCCTCTCCGGCTCTTTCCCCTCTCTCTGTTTCCTGGCCACCATGAGGTGAGCAGCCTTCCTCCATGCCCGTCCGATGCTTCTGCCTCACACTGGCCCAGGAGCAGTGGAGCCACCTACCATGGACTGAAACTCCTGAAATCGTGAGCTGAATCAAATCTGTCCTCCTGGAAGTCATAGCAGGGCATGTGGTCCCAATGACAAAAACTAAGATACCTCCTAGCTCTCTGACTGTTTTCTCTGTTTCCTTTCCTTGGAAGACATCTGCACTTCAACCGTTTGTTATTAAAAATGAATATTAGAAGATAATTCACTCACGATTGAAATGTCAAAGTGGTACGCAGGTTAGACACTGGTCTCCTTCCCACTTCCTTCCCCCTCTTCCTCTCATCTTTCTCTTTGTGTCTCTGCCTCTGGACAAACTAACATGGACATCAATGCAGGTGTCTGCCAATGCAGGGAGCAGGCTGTGCCCAGCTCTGTGTTATTCTATTTCTAAAGCAGCAGTTTGCCCAGAGTGGCTCCATTTTTAGCACAAGTGCCAAGATACAGTGACTCTACACCTCGTCTGTACAAATAACAACCACTATCTGCCCAGCACAGCCATAAGGCACAAAGTGATAATGAATGTGTTAACAACAATAAAAAATTAACATTGCCAGGCATGGTGGCACGCACCTGTAATTCCAGTACTTTGGAGGCTGAGGCAGGAGTATTACTGCAGGTTTGAGGCCAGCCTGGGGTATACAGAGAGACCCTATCTCAAAAAACCCAAAACACCAAAAAACAAAATAAAACAAAACAGAAAAACAGGTCTCGAGCTTATCAAACACACCAGCTAGAAGCCCTTACCTAGGCTTCTAAAGGAGGAACTCCCTAGACTGGGTAGCAACATAGGGAGCCTCTGCCTGGTCAGCTGTCACAAGCCTCACCCAGGAAACCAGCGAATGATGGACTTCTGGCTCTCTGTCCCTGGCTTCCTTCCTGCCTGTGACACAAAGCCTGTTGGACACTGCTGCTCCCGGACTGAGCCACCGGGGCAGGGCTGAGCCTGGGCTGCTCCTCCCCGTCCAGCCAAGGCAGTGACACTCTGGTACTTTGGTATGGGACCGCTTCTCTGCCTTTGGCCTCCTAAAATCCCGTGGCGGCCTTGAAGCCTTTCCTCACCGTTCTGTGATCTGCACGTCGTTGCGTGAAGTGTGACGCTGATAGGTGTGTTACAGACATTAGTAATCAAGACTGAGATGGATCGATCACCACGGTCACGATGAAACTAAGTGAAACCAAGTTCCCAGTGAATTAAAGCTGATGAAATTGATGGAGCTTCTGCATTTACTGTTACTCAACAATTATGACATGGGAGAAAGACACAAACACGTCAGTCTATGGTATTGCATAGCTCACTCAACACACCCTGTCTTTTTTTTTTTTTTTTTTTTTTTTTGACAGGGTCTCACTATGTAGTTGAGACTGATCTGGAACTCACTATGTAGCCCAGGCTGGTCTCAAACTCACAGCGGTCCTCCTGACTCAGC